AAAGCATGTGACCATGTTAAAGTCTTCAGCACTTCTCCCATTAACAGGTAGAATCTCATTTCTTTCCCATTAAACATGGGCTGGCCTTGGTCCCTCACTTTAAGTGAATAGAATGCAGTAGAAATGGTGCTGTATGGTTTCCAAGGCTAAATTAGAAAAGACAACACAGCTCCTTTTTGTCACTCTCTCTTGAAATGCTTACTCTAGGAACCCAATCACTATGTTGTGAAGATGCCCAGACCATGTGGAGTAGCCACATGAGATATTTCAGCTAAGGTTTAAACTAGCAGCCAACATCAATTTTCATACATGAGTCGGGAAGCCCTAGAGATAACTCCATCCTTAGCCGCTCTCTGTCTGCAATCAGGTAAGTGACCCCAAGCAAGAATTACCTAGTTGAGACTTGTAAACCACTCGAAATGTGAGAGAAAATAAAAAAATGATTGTTGTTTTAAGTCATTGTTTTGGAGAAATTCATTACACAGCAGTAGGTGACTGAAACACCTTGCAAAGCAATATGGATTTTGTTTTGTTCTTCATTATATAAACAGCTTCACAGCCAGCTCTTCAAAGCTGTGGTTCCATCCAGTTATCACTCTCTGTTAGCTTAGATTCCTCCAAAAGCCGACCTGAGACAAGGACTTAGGAGGTGATCACATGAAGTAGAAGTGAAATAGAAGAAAGTAATAGAGTGAAGGAAGGAAGTCAATAAATGTTTGCAAATTAGTTGGTTACTGCAGTGGGCAGCTGGAGAGCTCAATGCCCCTGTGGATCCTCTTAGGAACCATATAGAGTATGCCTCAGAAGTGTCACCCCAGAGGATGGGGAAACTGGAGCATCTATCCATTCAACTCCTCCCTCATTGATGTGCTTACCTTTAAGGCATCAACTCCTCTGCATTTCCAGATTGTACCTGGTAACAGATAAGCATCCTTCTGTAGCTCATGAGAAAGCAGAGTAGAGACCCTGCTATTCATGGTCAATGTAGGGCACTGGCAATAGTGCATGGAACTGTCCATGTCCACCATAGCTGTGTTGAAGTCAGGTGGTTCAAGAGAATGTGGCATAGTACATCACAGCTATTTTCCATATCCTCTGATCCATTCTATATGTGCCAACCTGGGATAACTCTTCAAAACAAAATATGCTTTTGAAAAAATCCCCTAATTCATATTCTTCAGTGGTTCCCCATTGCTCATAGGAAGAAAACAAAATCTTTACCAGGTTTGGTGCTGCCTATTTGTAGCTCTTCTTATACCATTCTCCTCCAATCTCTGCCCTCCAGCCAAACTGGTACTGTTTTACTTTCCCAAAATGCCATAGGGCCATTGTACTCAGCCTGGAATGTTCAGACTACACTCACCTCCAAGCCAGTTAGATAACTCCTACTCATTATTCCCATATCAGCTCAAACATCTCTTTCTTGGGGAATGCTTTACTGCTCCCCAGACTGGATCAGGTTCTTCTAAAAGCTTACTTCAATTTATAATATATACTCTTTTAGTTGTTCATTCCATTCAGGTCTGTCTCCCACATAAGACTGTAGACCCAAGAGGGTCGAGATCATGTTTCAGATTGAATAGCTGGGATATAAAAGGTGCATGTGAACACCTGTGTGGGGCCAGATGTGCATGTTTGAGATTAGATGGAAAACCACTGGAAGCATCTCTATTCTAAGGGATCTAAGGATCTTTTCAAAGACTGAATTTGCCAAATATTTTACTCAAGAATGTACATCTTTGAGTATCCTCTATTTCTCCTCCACTCCAACCTCATCTTCAGCCTTAGACCCACCTCTTCCCGAATGAGGTGTGAAGGAGGAGTAAGCGATGGGGTTTGTGCAAAACAAACCCAGTGTTAATTTCCCAAATGAGGGTTCCTTTTATAGTCATTGGTTCCTCAAAGAAAAAATCTGTATCTCCTGCTCTCGGAAATCAACCCGACTAGAGGACATGTATCTTTCTGCCCCAGAAGCATTGAAAGACAGTGTGTATTTAGGTGTCAAATTCCAGAATTCCCTAGTGTGTTTAGAAACTAGAAATTTGGATGGATAAAAGGGGAATAGAAGGAAATTAAACATTTCAAATTTTCAGTTTAATGGCAGTAAAGACAGAGTAAGAGCCCCTGCTGGGGATGCTTAAGAAGAGGAATTGAATATAAATCCAGGGAATTACCCAGATTCTTTGTGATCACTGGTGAGGCCACAATTGGAATACTATGTACAGTTCCAGTCACCTTATTATAAAAGGATATTAGAAATGGAGAAGTTACAACAGAGGGCAAAGAGAACCACATGGGGATTTAAGGATCTTAGCTAATCAGAGTGGTATTCTTTGGCAAAGGAGAGATTAAGTGGGAACTCATTAAAACATAGACAATTCTGAAGGGAATGTAGAGGATAATTGTTTCAAGGCTATTTGAGTTAGTGTCAAATACAAGAACAAGGGGTTAGTAACTTAAGCTAAGAAAGTGAATTTAGACAGGCATTTTCTGAATTGAGAGACATACAACAAAGGACTGAGGATAAAAATAAGAGACAGATTTTTAAGAGGTGGAAACATGTAATTTTTCCAATTTGGTTCATTTGCCTTAAGTAATGAAGAGTGCTTTTTTTTTCTTTTCCACTTGGAACAATTGTATCTTATCAGCAGTGTTAAAATTAAAACGGGTTAGAGTGACTATAATTTTAAAGACTCTAAATGGGAAGTTTCTAACCCCAGAAAAAGAACACATGGTTAAGCGCTTCTTGGCTTCTCTGCTTCAAAATGTCACAGGTTTCCGTCCTGAACCTACCGTAATACCACATTATCATTCAGAGTTTTGTACCTTGGCTGGTCCTGGAAATTTTTTTTATTTATTCAGTCTGTCACATAGCCAAAACAATGATTTCCAGTATGAAAGATATTATTTTACTTAGGCAACACTTGGGGAGGAGGGGAGAAATGATTATATAGTATGTTTTTAAAATATTGACTGTCAGTAGTGGTTTGTTTCACCCTGATCTTCAGAATTGTGATGCAGTTCAGATGACACTTAGGAAGCACCAGCTCTGTGATAGACACTGCAGAAGGTTCAGTGCCTGCACATAACCTTGTTAGTTTCTGACAGTATCTGCTGAATGGACATCATCCCTACCCTCAGTGAACTTGTGTGACATAATGACACTGATACCAAAAGTAAAGGAATAAGCAGTGTAGTGGGGGATAGAGGAGGGACCATTTGAACCATAGATAAAGGGTAGTGATTAAGAGACAGGCTTTGGGGTCAGTTGAAAACCCTGCTTTGTTGCTGGCTGTGTCATCTTGGGCAGGTTACTTCTCTGAGCCTCAGTTTCTTCATCTATGAAATGGGGGAGATAAGACCCCCTCAGAGTTTGAGTGAGGATTATAGTGAATTGATGTACGTAAATTGCACATTGCTAGAATATAGTGAGCACTGAAAAATGGCAGGTGATATTAGGAGGCTGAAGAAACGGAATGGATCAAAGGCCACAGAGTAGGAAGCAGATTTATCTAACATGTTTAAGTGAGTTCGTGGGCAGAAAAAGAGTGTTACTTTAATTCTCTAAACTTCTGTTTCTTCATCTGTAAAATGGGGATAATAGTACGCATCTCATAGTGTTGTATGCAATGCAAAGTGCTTAACACAGTGACTTCCCTTCAGGTAAGTACTCAGTAAGTGTTAATTCTCATTGTTAACTGTTTCAACTTGCTTCAATGAGAAATGTCAAGCTGCATTTAAACTAGCTTTGTCCTTTTTTCCCCTTTCTTTTGTCAACCTTAAAATAAAGAAAAGGTAAGCAATTCGGTCAGCAAAGTCGAGTTTATTTGGGAATAGCAGAAAAATTGCAATTTGGGACAAGCAAACTATGGTGGCCCATAGGAAGCCTGGAGAACAAAGATGAAGAGCATTCTTTTATAAAGGAAAGAAGGAAGTTAGGATGGGTTGTTTTCAACAAAAGTTCATTGGAGAAAAATAAAGAGTTTGAAGTGGTGGCTTCTCCTTGGCTATAGGTGATCTAAATGGTGGCAGCCTCTCATTGCCTGCAAGTGAGGGCAGCTTGTTGCTCTCTTCCTTCTTTCTGCTGGACGATGAAAGCCAGGTGGAGTGGTACCAGGCGTGAGAGCCTTCCTTTCATGGCTTCCCAACTCGTTTTGAGTTAGGTTTCCTTAACACATTTTCACAGTTTTTACAAAGCAACTAGAAGAGAAAGTACCTTTTTTTGCCCCTACTTGCCTTATTGCCATTTTCCTTATACACTACTAAATCAACAATGAAGTCCTCCTGGAAAGAGTCTGGGTCTCTTGGTCACAGGGTACATTACAATTAAGTAGCACAGACTTATATGTCACCATACACCAGTAACAATTTATGGGAAGTAAGCTGTTTGCTTTATTTGTTTTATTGGTACAGTTTACAATCCTAGCACAGATATTTTGGTAGGAAAGCATAAGACTGAAAATCTTCATGAAGCTGGGGCATTTTTTTTCATTATGGAAAATTCCAAATATATACATAAATGGAGAGACTAGTATGATAAACCACCCATTATGCACCTTCAACAGTTATCAACACCTGACCATTCCTGTTTACTATGTACCTGTCCTGCATCCCCTCCTCAATAGGTTTTTTTTTTTATGGAAATAAGATGTTTGCTTTTATAAATAATATGTCCTTCTAAAAGATAAGGATTCTCTGTTTTAAAAAAAGAATCACAATACTATCCTAACACCTAAAAAATTAACAAAAATTATTTAATAATCATCAAATATCTAATCAGCATTCAGATTTTTCCAATTGTGTCAAACTTCTTTTGCATTTGTTATAAGCAAGTTACATACCCTACATTTTGTTAATATATATATTACGGCGTTTAAAAATCTCTAGGTCCTCTCAGACACCGCCCAAGGCACCTCCCTCCCAGCATCCTCAGCGAGCGAGTGGCTCCCAGCATTCCCCAGGAGGGCGTTCGCCGCTTGGCCGGGCGCCTGCGTGGTACCGCCGCTCTTCTCAGCGGGCCGGATGCTCAGGCTCTCCGCTTGAAGAAGAGGCCCGCCCCGCTGGAGCAGACACGCCGGTGCCTCCCCTCAGCCCTGGAGCCTTTCAGTGCCTCCTGGGGCCTGGAACAGGTAGGGTCAGCACCCTTAAGGGCGAGCGTTCGCGCCATGTTCCGGTTCTGAAGATCCCTGAGGGATTCAGCTCTGGTTGCACCCTGGTTTAATAAGACATCCTTTATTGCTGCTTTTCCTTTTCTTGTATTATTCCCCAGTCCCCTTCCAGGATGCGCCTTGTGTCTTCAAAGAAACACTTGTGGATGAATCCTCTCAGGCTATTTCTGGGGAATCTGAACGAAGATGGCCTCCCTGGAACGCGTGTTTGTCTTAACCAAAGCCACTGAGCTCCTCCCTGTTTCTAGCTCCAGTGGACACTTTTAGTCCTTGTTTTACTTGATCTCTGGGAGAACTGGGCACTGATGACCACTTTCTACTTCGTGAAACACTCTGTGATGCCCTCTGCTCTTGGTTTTCCTCACATCTCTGGCCATTCCTTTCCAGTCTCTTTCATTGGCTTAAAAAAATAAGCCTTATTGAGATATAATTCATATACCATACAGTTCACCAATTTAAAATGGACTAATCAGTGGTTTTTAGTATATTCTCTGACTTGTTCAACCATCACCACAATTTTATGACCTTCTCATCACCCCAGACAGAAACTTGGTATCCATTAGCAGGCACTCATTTTCTTCTCCTCCAAGCTCCCAGCAAATACTAATCCACTTTCTGTCTCTGTAGATTGTCCTGTTCTAAACATTTTATGTAAATTGAATCATACACTGTGTGGTCTTTTGTGGCTGGCTTTTCTACTTAGCATAATGTTTTCAAGGTTTATTCATGTTGTAATAATACAGGTCAGTACTTCATTCTTTGTATGGCTGAATAATAATCCACTGTATGGACATACCACATTTTATTTATCCATATTTGTCAGTTAATGGATTTGGGGCTGTTTTCACTTTTTTGGCTATTATGAGTAATACTGCTGTGCACATTCATATACCCAGTTTTTGTGTGGACATGTTTTCATTTCTCTAAGGCATTTATCTCAGCATGGAATTGCTGGATCACATGATAACTATGTTTAGCATTTTGAGAAATTACCAGACTGTTTTCCATAGGGGCTGCATTATTTTACATTCCCACCAACCATTTATGGGAGTTCCAATTTCTCCATATTCTTGCCAACATTTGTTAGTATCTGGCTTTTTGATACTAGCATCCTAGTAAGTGTGAAGTGTTATCTCATTGTGGTTTTGATTTGCATTTCTCTAATGGATAAGAATCAACATCTTTTCATGTGCTTATTTGCCATTTGTATATCTTTTTTGGAAAAATGTCCTTTGCCCATGGGTTCATTTTGTAAATGTTGGTATTATCCTGGGTTCAGTGTCAACCCCTTTCCTCTTTTTCCCATATACTTACATACTAATGCCCACTCCTTATTCATACCTTCTTCAATCATGCTTTCATTCAACAAACATTTATTAAGCTCCTAAAATGTACCAGGCACTGTGTTTAGTGTTGAAGCCAAATAGCCATGAATAAACAGATGAGATCCATGCCAGTGAGAAGCTTGCATTCTTATAGGGGATGAAGATAGTAAAGAAGCAAATAAGAAAGATACTGTAATACAGTGGGAGAACTATGACATCAGTATGATAGAGTGATGGGAAGAGTACTGGTAGTAGGGCATAGGGGGAGGGGCATTACATTAGACTGGGTGATTGGGGAGGCCTCTTTTACAAGGTGATATTTGAGCTGAGATCTACCTGCTTAGGAAAAGTACACCATAACAAAAGCATGGACAAGCATTCCAGGCAGAGAGCAGCAAGTAGAAAAATGAACTTTGTGTGTCAGGAAGAATGAGAAAGCCAGCGTGGCTGAAACGTAGTGAGTAAAGAGGAGAATGGCAAGAGGTAAGGTCAGAGGGGCAGGCGGGGCCTTTCTTTTGAAGGACAGACAAGAAAAGTTGACTAGATCTGGGATTCCTGGGATTATCCCTGGTGTGATTTTTGGAGGCAACAGTCAATAAACCACCAGCATATAGGTGTCTTCCAAACTAGGAATTAAAAATTCTCTGTGACTCCTCCATATCCTAATTATACCTCTTCCCACATAGAAGCAAAAAGATACTATACCTGAATATAGCTAATAAATAAAAAACTGGTGTGAACCATTACTTTGTTTAAAATAGAAAAATAAAACTCAAACCAGCACTACAGGGTAACAATTTATGGTGTTGGAAATGTCTTGAGAAGTCTTTTTAGAGTTTTGTGTTGAATGTTTATGGAAGGTGTAAAATTCTTATAATGCCAGCGTTTTATGAACAGTGCAGTTGGCAGCTCCTTTTAGCTTGATCCCCGCTTTCAGGAAATGTGGATTTTCTTTCATTTATTCATATTGTTTCCAGTCCATCAAAAATAGACAGGATGTAACAGGACAGTCCATTTGTACCATTCTTTTTGGAAATAATTGCCAGGAGCACTTTACGGTTGTCAAAACCCCACCAGTGTGACTCCCAAGTGGTCCTCTGTGTTAAAAAGCACACGCTTCCCACTCATCTTTGTATTCCTCTCCCATTTCCACCACAGGGAGGATAATCAGGCTGGGAGAAGCAGCCCTTTAAAATTCAGTGCCATGCAAAGGGCAAGAAGAAGAGTGAAAATGATATATACAGAACCCCCGAAAGAAAAGGGAGGTATGGCTTCCCTCTGTTTAAGAATGCATTTCATGAAAGACAGGAAAAACTCAGGTTTACCAGATATGCAGAACCATATGCATGCATTAATTAAAGGAATGTGAAGGAGGAGGAGGGGATCTGAGAAAATAACAAAGCTGCAGTGTATGCATGCAATGATTTTTCATTCTGTTTCGCTTCAGCTCTGCCCCTGCAACAGAGGATCTAATCAATCTGCCGGCTATTAAGTTTGTTAATTGATAATGCATACTAATTAGGCTGTGCGCAGTTACTTAAGAGACTTTGCTAAGGTGATTGTAGGCACAAGTCCAAATGGAGTTTAAAGTATTCTGTGTGAGGTTAAAACCCATCAACCAGAATAGATGGATTTTATATTATAACAGAAGGCACAACATACCCATAAGTATTTAATGTATTGCTCAGTTATCCATTATTACATATTTTAACTCTACAAAATAATTAAAAATGCAAAAACAGCTACTAAAAACTATAACTAAATCACACTGGTGCGGGTTTGAAGAGGTGTCAATGAGAAAGCACTATTTTCTCATCAAGGTAAATGTTTAATTTTCTCATTTATATTTGGGAACAGCCAGGGTAAGCAAGGGAGGAGGCTTTGTGAGAAGCAAGAATTAGTGAACTGTGTGGACACCAGAGGCCATGAACAGCCTCAAATGTCAGATTGCGATGCCCATGTTTCAAAGGTCAGCACTCCAGAGGCTGCCTAGTTGACCCATAGAAACACATTATCTGGAGCTCAAGATTGAAACATGTTTATCAGCCATACAGTTAGCTGCCGGTGCTGTGGTTTGTGCCCTTGCTTTGGAGTACTGTTATTTTGGGGATGGACTGTCAGGGACCTCCAGCAAATGTCCCTTCAGAAAATGCCCACAAGGAGGATGGTTCATCCCTCTCTATGCCTTGGAGGCAGTTCCAGTGTACAGCCAGGAGATATGTCTAGTTGGGTCCAAAGAGATTTCTCCAGATCAGAGTGACATCTCACTCTGCTCTAGTGAATTTCTAAGAGGTTCAGGTGGATCATGAACTAGCTGCTGGCTCAGAAATCAAATCACAGAGCTAATTTAGAGGAGGTCATAATTCTCCATGAGACCCTGAAATCTTCCTATTCTTCTGGAAGATTCAAACTAGTTTCATGGACCTTTTGTCCATTCAGCAGATATCTCTTGAGTAGATTATATGTTCCAGGCACTGTGCTCTGTATCAAGGATACCAGTTATGAACAAAAAAGTCAGAGTCTCTCCCTTCACATAACTTAGAGTCCAATGCATCTAGCATATGCTGTCAGAGAGAGCTTTCTAAGAATGAAAATCCCCTACTTAAAATTACGATTCTTCCAGGATGAAGTCCAGATTCCTTAGTGGCACATGAAGTTATCAAACCATTCTTGACATTCTTGACAGTTACCTTGATACTTCCTCTTTTCAGTAAAAAATTTTTTGAGAAACTGCTATGTCCCAGGCACTACACCAGCTGCTGCACATTCATCAGTAAGCCAAAGTCCCTGCCTTCAGGAAGTTCAGAATTGAGCCAAACTCAAGCCGTATCCAGGACAAAATCTGTCTACAAGTTTTGGACCGATAAGCTGATCCCTGGGACTACTGAGTAGACCTATAATGTGGCAGTTGGTTGTTTCCCCCAAAATGTGTTACTAGCAAAGTATTGGTATAATGTCTTTAATTTGGGGGGCTGGGCCGTGGGGAGAAACAAGGGGCAGAGTTGACATTCATAAAAATTCTATTAAGCTAATATACAAACTAATGTTTAAAACATAAGAGTGGGAGAAAAGCTTTTATGGAAGACTATTTAGCAAGAGCAGAGGGAGGTGTCTTTTATTTTCACTCTTTAGGCAAACAGAGACTTCCCACAACAGACATTTGAATCTAGCAGGAGGCAATAGTGTAGATAGTATGCATTTAATTAACAAATGAATTGTGTTCCTACAGTGTGACCACTGAACCTGGAGCTGATATATACTGCTCTGTTTTAGCTATTTTGAGATGACTGAGTTCAATGACTCTGTGTAAGGAAAACTAATCTCTGAATTCTAAGAGAAAAAATAATTAGATGCTCACTATGCTTATGAGTCATTCTTAACTTGGCCAAAAGCATAATACAGGGGTGTAGTGAATAAAGACTTTGAGAGAATAAGCCATTTCCAAGAACAATTTGTGCAAGCTAGAATTTATTTGCATATACTGAGCATATATTAAAAATAGGATGCCATGACAATATTGCACAAATGCAATAATTAGTGTTTAATAATTACAGAAATACTTCTTATGAGCATGTGCCAGTGGCACAAGCATTATTCTTATTGTACCAAAAATATGACTGGATTAAAAAACTTTGA